GGGGGGGAGTGTCCCTGTAGAATACTTCAATTATCTTAAAGTAATCTTTTTCTAAAAATATATTTTAGACTACACATTTCAATATGCCTGGTTAGGCATGACACTGCTGTCTATCCACACTATTTTCAGACAGCCACCCTTCCTCATGAAGCAAAAGGTTTAGTACTAGCCTCCCAAAGCCTACAGCCAACAGCAGCAGGAGCTGGGTTGTGCTGTTACACGGCTGACATGAATTACAGCTATTTCCAGTTTTTCTTTAGCTGGTGAGGTAAGAGAAGGGCCAAAATTGTCAAACTGTCTACTAGCTATGTGTCTACATTGAGACAGTGGGACTTTAACTGAGAGTTACTGAGCATTTCTGACTTCCATGTCAGTCAGCTGGCGCTGTGCATTCTCAGGTACTATCTGCTCTCTGAAGGAAATAAGAATATTGCATAGTATGGAGTATTGTGTATAAATGCAAACAGTACATAATGAAATACAAAGAGAACAAACATAGGAAAGATCTTTAAATATCTCCTGACATTATTTGGTTTCCGTAGATGGAAAGATATGCTATAAACGTATTAACAAAGACATTTATCTTCAAACAAGCAAAAAAAAGAATTAAAATTAGGAATGATGCCTTCTTGAGTGAAACACTGAAATTATATGTCATTCTGAGATATAAAACCTTGTGACTTCTCTTATTCTCAGTAAATTAGAATCATCATCCAAATCTCCTGCTACTATTCTTATGCACCTCAAACTGCAATATCTTATCAAACCACAAAACCTACAGACCTACGGACTTTACCAATAGATACCAATTGTAAATTAGTGAAGAATTTGTTTCTGAAACTGAGAAAGTGAGGAAGTCAGTTCTGTGTGGTTCCTACTTGGACCATCATTCTGCAGTGTCTGTGCAATGGATGTCTGAACAGCTAACTCTGGATCTTCAATTTCATGCTGGGAACTAGAAACCAACAACTTTTGACAGCCTAATCTTTTATGAGATTTAGCCAAAAGAGATTTCTTCTTCCACTACCAACCATTTTTGTTGTCTTTTAGAGCTAAATTGGCTTTTAGAAACTTCTATTTTGACAATCCATGTTCATGTTCCCTTGTCACTGTATTTTGTGCAAAGCATACTGCACTCTCCAGTCAAGATTTCTAGTTTTCCATTTATCCAAAGGATTGAGTCTTTCAAAGTAGTTAGGTGCAACAGTTACAGAAAATTAGAAATTATATATTGTAGATGACTAGTCTGATGAGCAAAACAAATAATGCCTCATGCACTGCAAAATGGAGCCAACATGGCTGCCAAACAGACAGAAAAACGTTTCTTCCACTCCTATATCAATACCATAAATCATTTCTGTGAGACCTATGAACAGTCTGCTTCGACAGACAGACATTTTTTTGTGGCACACTCATTATCTTAACATAAACAACTTGGAAGAAATACAAATCTGAAAATTTCAGATTTGTTTAACACCAGTATTGCACTTTTTCTATTCCATTTTCCTCTCCTTTTCAACATGTACCAGGCCACAACTGAGCACTTTTGAAAAATCACACTTTGGATTTGTAAATGACACAGAAAGGTGTACAAAACCCAAGTTCTTCATTTTAGTACAAAATATTACCCTTTTAAAGAAAACATTCATGTAATGAAATTTGTTCTCAGTGAGAGTGAAGAACAAAAATGAACCACACTGGTACACAGAATACATTAGTCAACAATCAAAGGGATATCTGGGGAAAGATATATATGAAAGCTAGTGCATGAGAAATAAGCAGTATTAATGTCTAAACACACATGTAATAGAATCTACCGATTGCCCATGTAAGTGTTAAAATTTAAAAAGTGTACGCACTCAACAACACAAACATAACTGGAGGCCAAGATTAGGCCTTTCTGAAAATTTTACTCTACCATTCTACCTTACTAGATAAATATACGTATATATGTAACTAATTCAATACATATAAACCTTTCAAAAGCCAATGAAAAGGAATGCCCTTATGAAATTATGTTCATGCTTAAACTGAGATATATAGCATTAACCAAAAAATGCAGCTAGTTTAACAAGAAGTTTATGTTAGAGGTAGCTTGCACTCTGCAGTGAGTTGTATAGGCTGCAAAAAGCACAACATTAATATTAATGAAATATTTACATACTGAAAGTTGTCCAGACAAGAACTGTGGAACATCCCTTAACATGCCAGGACTCATAGGAGAAGTCACTGAAATAGAAGGTCGGTCCATTTTTTGAGATTCAAATGAACTAGAACCTGTAATTGTAAATAAAAACATTCTATAAATAGTAGCACTTATGCATTTTCACATTGCTCTTTAAAGAAAAATTGTGCAAATATAACCAAACATACATTTAAGTTGTGATAAATATCACCTTATTATCTATTTAAAGTTTCCAAATAATGATACTCAATCATTTGGTGCTCAAATGCAATCAAAAGGTTTCCAAGTTTATTATAGCTGCAAAATGTCATCTGAAGCATACAGAATGAAAAACAGAATTATAGTCAGAATTATCTGAATATAATATCAGTAAGTAGAAGGTCCAAAATTCCTAAATAAAAAAGATATTTCCTATGACTACTTTACCATGTTTAAAGGAATGTAGTCTTCTGAAGTGGATTTTCTATAATGTACAATCAGACTAATTCTTAATTAGACTTTTACAAAAACATCAGGCTGCATGTAATGTTTTTTGTGCATTTTATTTCAAAGCTACAAGGTCTGAAAACTGTCAGAGAAGAAGTTTAGACACATGAAACATATAGTAAAAGTAAAGAATTTTTATAAAAATGGAAGGCAGTTCACAAAACATAAAATAGATTTTATTTTAAGGCTTGGCTGATCACTGAAATGTTATTGGAGGAGTTTTTCATATAATTATAATCAAGTTTATGCCACTGCATTTATTCACGGCTTCTACTATTGAAGATTTCTAAAACAATGATAAAAAATAACTCCAGGCTGAAACCCATCTTATCAGATCTAAGCCAAAGAACAAGTTATTTTTCCCCATATGAAATACTGGTTTCACCAATTTAAAGAGTACTGAATGGTTCTAATAAAGTAGAAGTACAGTGGCTTCAAAATAGCTAACTCTTAGGTTATAAATACAGAACATTTCATCCTCATTTTTAATTTATAAGGTTCAATTTAAATGCAAAATAACAAAACAGGAAATTAAAGTTACTATTAATATTTTTGTATATTAGTTGGAACTATGCTTTTCTTTTAAATCAAAAATAGCCTAAGCTTGTAACAAAACATCAAGAAGCCTAAATCAAAATATATAGAATTTTTATAGTTTAGTAATAAATAAAAGTAGATAGATAATACATTAAGATGACATACAGAGACAAATACGGACAAAGAGACGAGAGCTATACTGACTGTAGATGACGTTTTTCAATCTATTTGTGCTTACATAAAAGAGAGAGAAGATTTTCCTACCCCACAATTGAAACTTACTGGACTCCAGCTGCGCATGTGTGCTGTCAGGTATTCTGGGAATGTCCCTGAAATCAGGAAAAGTAAGACAGGCTGATCCTTTATCTAACAAGCATATTCAATTTCAGTTACCCTACAACACTTCTCAAGCCACCGTGGAATGCCTCTGGAAAGGTGTATGATCTATTGACTGTCTTCAGCTATGAGCAAGATTTATCTTTTATGCAGTATAAATAATTTCAGTGGCAAATTAAAGCCTACAGAGCAAGTGGTTTGGTGAATGCAGGACAGGGGCTGCACAGCCACAAAGAAAATCATTCAGTAAAGAAAAAAAGGTAGCAATCTCAGAGTTAATGGTAGACTAAAATTGTGAGTAGCAGACTTTATCATGACATTATACACTATTTAAATTCATTGGACCCTCACCCAAACATTTCAGACTGCCAAAAATTGCTATCCCAATACACCCTTTACTGTCCTTGAATCCCCAGATTTGGATGATCTTACCTTTTCCGTAACTAAATGAGTAAATTTATTTGGCAAAATTGCATACTTGCATATACATGAGATATTGCATCACCTGTATTAAATTGTGTGTACAGCTATGTAATTTTAAAGCACTCAGTCATAATGACTAAGTGCCTCATTACACCCACCCACCCCCCAAAGGAACATAGTCTTCCTATGAGGGGCAAACATTACTGTATGCTAATACAAACTATCAATATGTTAATACATCCTTTCGGAGGTATTTGAGCAAAACCAAGCAAGATGAAGAGCTTCAGCTCTGAGTCACAGCAAGAGCAGTATTTAGAACTGTGATGTGTGTTTCAGTGCAGTTGTTTTCCTCAAGGTTGCATTGGGTGTCTGTGCCCACGCACTGGCAGCGGGTGCTGCAGGGGTGACCTCCGTGAGGAGAGGCTGGCGGGTGCCCACCAGCTCCAGTGGACTCACCACAAGGCACAGCTGGGCCCATCAGCCAAGGTATGGGGCCTCTGTGATAACACATTCAAGAAGGGGAAAAACCAGCTGTGCAGCAGCTGTGAGAAAGAGTGAGGAAAAACTATGAGAAGGTCAGAGGAAGGGGTAAGAGTGACTACAACCCTCATTCCCCATCCTGCTGCAGTGTTTAACTGGAGGGGAGGTAGAAGCACCAGGAACAAAGGAGTGAAGTTGAGCCTGGGGAGAAGGGACTTGAGGGGAAGGTGGTTTTAGTTTTGGTTTTGTTTCTCACTAACATATTCTGTTATTAATTCCAAATAAATTAATCTTCCCCAAGTCAAATATGTTTTGCCCATGATGAAAATATCTAAGTGATCTCCCCATCCTTATTTTGACCCATCTTTTCCATATTATTTTCTCCCTGTCCTGCTGAGGAGTAGGAAAGAGAGAGCAACTGGACAGGCATTTGGCACCCAGCCAAGAACAACCCACTACAAAGGTATATGAGATGGAAGGCAAAGTTCAAAATGCTGTCAATGATACCTGCTGTCTCATACAATTTTAAAAGAGCCTGTCTTTTATATAAGTAAAACTTATCCAGTTCCTTTTTGGTATATTGTTTCCAAACATTTTTCAGGCTCAGACTTACTAAGCAGATTGAGGAATCTTTCCAAGTGAATTGATGTACAGTACCTAATAATTCAAATTAATCAGAAGGTATGCAATTGGTGTAACTGCCCAGTGTAAACAAAAAAAAAAAAATAATCTCTGTGTTACTAGCAAAAACTTGCTAGAAACTTACAAAGACTATTCAAGAAGTAAATATTTAAGTTTGCGTATTTGATGTCTGTAGAATTTATAAAGGAGCCCAATACTCGTCTATTACTTTACTCAGAAATACACTCCTGAACCAAACCTGTAATTTTAAAGTATTCTGTCATGAGTTTGAGAAGAAAACTTTAAAAATGTGTTATCATTGTGAACAGATTTAATATGAGCTTTTTATAGAGAACTAAAACAATGAAATTGGAAGCTTTGAACACTATCATTTATGTTCCTAAGACATAGAGATCCTAGTGTTTCACAATAGTATCATTGGTATTTCTTACAAGGAACTTCTACTGAGATGTACAAGAAAAAGAAGTATTTTTAGGCATTCATTTGCATTTTAAGATATGTTCCATTGCAAGTAGATTGTATAGAATAGTTAATAAAACACAATGCATTATTCCTTCCAAATTTGAAACAGTAGTAACTATGAAAATAACATGCATTTTAAAATAATTATATTTTAGATTTAGAAAGCAGAAAATATATAAGTTCTTTAATATATCAGACAGCCAGCTCACATACAATTGCAACGCGGCCGTCAATTTTTATTCTAAGACAGAGAACAGGATAAATTACATGTCAAAATGTTATAATTTTTTTTAAGGGAGCTTTCCATTTTATCTTCCTTTATCAACTTAGCTTGCCACTTTCAGTTTTCATAGCAGTTAGCCCATAATAAAATGAAGAAGAACTAACAATCATGTTTACTACAATTTAGTTCTTATTCAGAATATCAGGATATGACAACAGGTTCTCCTTCTCTGCTAAGTTAATAACTAGTAACTGTCTGAAAAATTCTGGCATGAGTTAGTGCATTGCCATGAGACCATGAAGTGACTCCCTTTGTAAGTAATAGGATATAGCTCAATGCAAAATTTAAATCCTTCAAGCAGTCATCCATTATTCTAATCAAAATAATTACCATGTCAGACATCTGGTATATCTGAACTTTTAATGATTTTAAATACATTGAAACTTTAGTCCCTGAGGCAGAACACAGACCTGTCATGTTATGTTTCCTTGGGCATACATAAGATATTAATTTCTATAGTTTGTTTGACTATGACCAGAAATCTCTTAAGCTTAGAAAATAATGTGGTATTTCCAGTTCATCAGCTTAAATCTCAGGAAAACCATTTCTGAAATTATACTGTTAATAAAAAAATCCGAAGAGTTACATACATCTAACCAGAACCTGAAACCCTACCAACTTGCAGAAAGTATTCATCACTGAGACTTCAGTTATAAACCTAGTTAGATTAGTAACTGGAGTTTTGGAGGCTAAAAACCGCTTTTTACATCTACTACAAGAATCAAGAACGATTTTAGCCCCAGTCTGGCTCAGTTTTCAGACTATGTGGGGTAAGGAGTTAATGCTGAAGAAGGCATCTTGAAAGCTCACATGAGTTTCTGTAAGGAATTATAGATTAGCTGCTCTACTGAGAGCAAGTGGAGCACATGGTAATGTAACAGACCTGATAAGGAAGATAAACAACAGATAGTAAATATAAAAGAACGGTAAAGAATACAGGAGGTTTCACAATGAAGAGAATGCAGAAAGAGGAAAAAAGGGGGGGAAAAGTGAATGTTTTCAAGATATGAGCAGTTCTTCAAAATTTTTGCTATGAACTTCTGTCAGAGAAACTATTAAAGACCTTACGCCTATATGAAACTAATTTGAAACCTCTTTTTCCAAGACAATATTCTTCCAGCAATGTAGTCTGTCCACTAGGATTACAATTATACCTACAGCTTCCAAGTTATGCAAAGTTTTTTACGGATAAGGCAGATGGTACAGCCTTTACCCTGATAGAGTTGCAGTTCAACACGTATGTAGGAGATAACCTCTCATCTTACTGACAATGTAAAGAAGTTTTTGTTATTATCAAATAGTTTAAAAACATCAAAGCAAATTAAGTTCCTAGACATTAAGTTTCTGATGTATAAAACACACTGTGATCTTATTATAGCTGAACCCATAACAAATAATCCTCACTGAAATTCCATCCTCAGATTATATGGTTCTAGATCATTTTTAGTTGCTGTGTTACCTATGCCTTCTCGTATGAAGGTAAGATAAATGTGCACATCTTATACAACATAAAGGGATAAATATATTTATTAATTATAATTAGTTATAATTATAGAACCATAGTACAACCCAGATTGTAAGGGATCTTAAAAAACCATCTAATCTAATCACACATGAAAAAGGGAGCCTAGATGAGATTACCTAACACCCTGTCCAGTTGCAGCATACACTTCATAATAAAATAATAGAGGGGAGAAAGGGAGGTGACAGGGACAGACTCTTAACAGCTGTAAACATCTTCAAATTCAGTGATAAGCATACCCCTCTTCATAGCCCTGGTGTGATCAGTTTTATGAAACTTCCAATGGAGAAATCAAAAAGGGATGGATGTTATTGTAGGCTGTAGGAACTTGGAAGAAAAAAAAACAGATAAAGAGGGGGAAGTATTTACAGTCTAATATAACAAAGCAACTGGAAATGCCCTATTGCTATGCAAGAAAAAATTGAGTTTAGATATAAAGAGATAGTTTTGAAAGTTAAGAAAACTGAGCAATGTGAAGCACCAAAGACGTGCCACATGGTTTAGACAAGCACTACTGCTATCTATGCATTCAGATATGTTCTGTATTAGGTAACAAGCAATAATTAAATAGATTTCATATATTAAGATTATGAGAAAGTGGATTGAAGACTTTCCAAAGCATATTGATTATGTCATTAGCATACTGTATTTTGGGCAAAATTCTACACCGCAGACTCTTGGTAAATAGAGTTCATCATCAGTTGATAGACCAAACAGGAATATATAATTTCATATATATTCAATACAAATAGGAATGGAGAAATAAAAATCAAGAGTCAAGTTATTAATCAATGATTGTAACAATAAAAAGTGTATAACCATAGTTTCAGAGCCAATATAGACTGGATCACCAACTAAACAACCACAGAAGGGAACATGGTTTTGACCATATTAGCAGATAATGCCTGGGACTCCCTCAGAGAATACAGGATTTCACTCCAACTCTTTCTGCGTAATGGCACGATCTATCATTCTAGCTATCCTTTTGGTTTACAGAACTTTGAAAGAAATTTTACTGTTTACAATGTTTATGCCTTAAAAGTGAAATTTAGCACTGTTTTTATTATATTTAATTAAAAATGTATGAATTTACTTACCCTATTGGTCTTGAAACGACAAGTTCCACTTGTGGCTCAGGTTTGGATTCTAAAATGATGTTATAGACCTCTTCAAAGGTGGCTCCTTGTAGTAGCCTTCCATTCCATTCTAATACTTCATCACCTGTATTTTAGTAATAAGACTGCTTAGGAAGTCTTCTGGGAACTGTACTTAAAATGACAATTTAAGCCATTCTTCTGTCAGTTTACTGAATTATGAAACTTCTGTTGTAGAACAAGTTTCAAGTCCTTCATAAAGGAAAAATCTGAAGGAAAATTCTGAGTATTAAAGGTTTTCTGGTGTTCAGCTTCAAATACGTAAAGTTCAGTGAAACAATATCATCAGTAGGACATGTACTGAATGAGATATGACTCTTAGTCTGGCAGCTGTGGTTTAAAAGAAACCCCAATGTGCTGCTTAGAAAATGAGGATCTTTAAAAGAGCATATCTCATCAACTTGCTATTCTGAAGACCCATTTACCTCTACAAGTTTAGTATTTAAGGTTCAGATAGTTCTTATGTCAATCGTTAATATTTCTTGCACATTCTCCAATCTAGCAATCCATGGTGTGCATCCTGTGCTAGAAATTTTTCTTAGCTGAGCTGGTTCTGTTGGCACATTTGTAATAGTTTGGTTTACTCAAAATGTACACCACAAACCTACTGAGCAGGACATCACTGGAATATTATTTGAGTATAAAAATGTGAATTAAAATGCTAAAATAAGGGTTTGGGCAACATGAAAATGTATATATTTCACAAAAGCAGTAACATCAATAATCTAGTAACTGCAGGTCAGGTTATATTCTGCAGTAGTTCATCACAACTACTTAACATAATTTCACACCTAATTAAACTGGCTTGTTTGTTATCACCTTTAGAAAAGCAAGTCAGCAGTATAGAACTATAGTTGATACATACCTGGTCTAAGATGCCCCACTGTATCAGCTAAACTTCCTTTTTTAACTTTGGTGATAAATGCGCAGAGTCGACCTGATTCAGTCATCTTTCCTCCTACTACCTGTTTCAAAGAGGAAGTATTTTCATAGAATGAAAATTCCTTTAATTTACTTAAATGCTCTGGAGACAGAAAGAAAAATTCAAGTATTTCCTTGGTTTTCAGGTAGTCCAAGTAAGAGAAATACACTTAAAAAAGCCACCACAGTATTTTGGCTATCACAGGGTTTGTTTATACCTATTCTTCTTATTTATGTAACTTAAATACAGTGTAAATACAGAATGCTAAAGCTTTTGAACTTTAGCAAAAGATATGTATAGTATTTCACTGTATTATAAATTAACACACAACCCCCACTCCCACCCCCCAAAAAACAAGTAGATATTGGTCTTTAGACTGTTTACTTCAATAGTTTTTATCTGAAAACAGATACATTAATTAACAGAACACATGATGTTCACACTAAGCATCAAAGGTCTCTATCAATTCATCAAATCCACTTTGGCTGGGCAAATCAGGTGAAAACACTTGTCATACTGAAGATTTCTCTACAGAAAACTTGAACAGGTTTGACCTTATTAATCATCTTAGAATAAGGAAATTCAAGTATTAGAATAGGTTATAATTGCATCATTTTCAAATTCTTAAGGCTTCTTAAAAGTCTGCATATTGGGATTTAAAATTTACAATACTAAATCCAGCTTACTTTACTTTCAATAATGTAAATATTTGAAAATTCAGGCCAGGTATAACTGCTGAAAATCACTATTTTTGGATGTCTATTGAGATTAAAAAATAGTTACCCTTGAATCCTAACTATTCATGAATCTCAGTGAAGAGTTCCTCTTTATAACAGAAGATTTTAGAATTTTGAAAATAGATGTTTAAGCAAAAACTTCATAGTGACACTATTAACCTTTTCTCTTGCATTTTCTGACATTAAGACAATAACACACATACCAAAAGTGATGGCCAACTGGCTTCTCTACTGATTTCAAAATACAATGATTTTTAAGTAACTACACTGACTTAATCCCTATTTACAGCATATGACTTCAGCTTGATCAATGTACTCAAAGCGAAGTCAGTGTCATGCTAAATGAGGAATGGAGAATTAATCAAACTTCTTAACAATTTCTCACAACAAGGATGCTGATTCGAAATATATATATGCTTGGATTTTTTTTTACTCTGTGTTATTCATTCACATTCTTGTATAGTATTGATGCAAATAATAATAGCACACGAAAATTAGACCAAGAAATGAGATAGAAATAGCTTCATAATGTATTCAGAGTACTGCATCATGAAAAAGATGCAAACATATTACTTTGTGATAATATACAATAAATACTAAATAATTTTCTGTATTTGTCTTTAAAATGTAGCAAATCAAACAATCGTGTGTGTGTGTGTGTGTGTGTGTGCGAATCCAGAAACAGGCTCTTCCATTGGCAGACACTGTTCTGGATTGAAATGCCATTAACTTCTAAATGTCCCCTAGATCTTCAAAAGTGATATATTATTTTTCACTTTTTTCCTCTTTTTGGGGGAACAGAATTTATACCATGTTGCAATGCTTCATACTAAAGAAAGTGGACAGGGTTTGGCTTGCCCAGCAAGGATGCAATTAGTACCTTGTAGAGCAGACGTTCGCAGAAAATTTGCCTAAACATGTCTAAGTCTTTCTGAAAAAGTTTTGAGCCTGTCAGAGATCGTGTAAAATTGCTCCTGGTAACTGAACATAAAATGTCTCTATATTGTAATTCTGAGAATGATAAGACATTGATATCTGTATACACACACTATATAATATGAGAATACTTTCACTGTAAAGGTATCTAGTGTAAGTAAGAGAGTTGTGAGTTCCAAAAGGTATTCATTACCAACCTTCAATCCAAGCATTGCTCCTGAGTCTCTAGGCACACTTCCATCTTTTAGTCGTTTATTTAACAAGATCCGACCAATGAGACGATCTCCATCTTTGGATGGTTGCCAAGTTACTGGGTGCTATCATATGGTGTTAATGGAAAATACAGTGAATAGGATTTTGAAGAAAAATAATTCAGTAATACTTTTCATTTCCTAAAATATTTTTGAAGTGCCATGAAAGTATTATGATTACACAAATATTTAATGTAATAGAATGATAGAAAACTGTTGGAAAAAATGTACTGGGACATGTAGTCTCACATTGTGTTTCTAATATTTAACAACATTATTTATTTTAATAAATCCAATTTGTAAATATCTAGAATGATATTTTCATCTTGATGATTAGACATAGACAACTATACATAGTTACCTACATACAATGACATTCCCACCTAAGTACTGACAAAATCAACTGTAGACATCTAATGTAAGAGTAATAGTGAAAGAGAAGTTTAAATCAAAACAGGAATTTAATGTAAGACATTTCTTTTATTTGTGCTATTCCAAACATGTCAGTTTAAGACTGAAAATATTTTTCAGGGTTTTACTTTCTCTCAGTAGTAGTACATTAAAAATTATAGAATACAGTAAAAGGTATAGCCATTACTACACCTTTTACTGTACACATTGAGATTAAAAACATTTAAATGTTTTTCTTAAATAGTTCACACACGAAACATATATATAGTAAAAGTTATTATTCCATTACTATATATTGGCACAGTTTTATATTGGCATAATTAATAAATTTTTAACATTTATTTTGTGTAATCATAGCACTTTTCCACAGATAAATATTATTTCATGCTCTATTTCATGCAAAATTATCAGGCACAGACAAATCTGCTCTGTTACAACTAACAACTCTAAAAAGATTTAGCATAATCTCCATCAAACAGAAAGGAAAAAAAAAAACCCCAAAGCAGATGGCAAAGCCTTTAATTCTGCACAATTCTGCACAAAAATGGCATGGCAACAAAACAAAAGAACAACCATGATAGTGAAAGGGAAAAAAGAAAAACAACTTTTCTGTGCAGAGAGACCCAATTTTCTCCCTTTTTCACCTGGGGTTTAAACTATTAATTTAATTTCAGCCCCAGGAGTTTGAACAGAGTAAATCAAATAAGCCAATCAGTAGAATCCTTATTGTTAATTACTTTGTACTTGAAGGTAATACCATGATACGCTATTATGCAACCGTAAGAACAACATTCCTTTATGCCTCTCAGTTTTTTTTTCTTAGGCTGCCAAACAGTAAAAGCTGCAAGCATGCAGAGACTTTTGATTTGTTTTTCTTTTCTGCACCTTAAGAAATGCTACATTGTCTCTAGAAACACCTTATCTTTTATTTTATGCACTATTTTAATGAGTGACAGAGAGCAAACGAAGACCAAATGAGCAGGTTAAAATGCAGGCTCCATAATCTCAGTACCTTCTCGCTATGGCTATGTTCCTCGTTTAGAGTTGTGCTACTACACGTATCAACCCCAGAGTCTTTTATCTGAGGCTCAGACCATTCCAAGTCCTCTTCCAAAGAGTGGCCACCAAAGCACACCATTTTCTTTTGCCTCTCGGATAAGGTGTTAGAATCCGACAAAACTGCCTGCTCACTAGTTTTTCTTTTTCCCCTTTGACTGTCCCCTATAGGTGTGGGATAAAAAAAAAAAAAAAAAGATACAAAAAAGAAAACATGCAAAGGTGTAAATAAAACAAAGGAAACATGAAATGCTAAAGGCAACTAAATGGTAAGGCTCCACATGTCTCACCAAAGACATTGGGGATGCCTCACTGCTATGCCAAGACGTATGGTCCAACCAGTTGTAATCCATGTCTCCTGTGAGAATCAGACAGAGAGGATAGTGCAGTAAAGCAAATGTGAAAGAAAGGACAGACAAAGATTCCGTAAAACTGTAAAGACTTCTGATTATCCTATCTGATTGATAACCTCTGCTAGCAGGACTTGCAAAGTACTTCCAAGAAAAAGCTAGGGCTCAAACAAGAAAGTACATGGAATATGAAATACAATGAGGAAGGTCTACGTGTGCATAGTTATGTACCTTGCAAAATATGTCTTAAGAGTTTTTATCTGTTCCTATCAAATTACTTACAGCAAATTAAATTAACAGGAAAACTGTATTGTATGCATAACAGAACTTTCAGAAAGGAAAGCATTTGAATATGGGATGAGTTTTCATCATAAACTAAACTAAGTTTTGTCTTAAGGAATGTATTTGTTTTTTTTCTAATGAGTATTTATTCTAATCACTTCAATAAAATACTTTAAACAATGGTATTCTATATTCAACTCTATAATAGATGATGTTTTAAGGAAGCTTAAATGAACTGTTAAATATTATAGATAAGAAAAACAAATATAAAAACACATTTTTAGAATAAAAAGCATATTAACTTTATTTGAAATTCCCAGGGAAATGTCTACTGGTTAAATATCAGGAAGAATTCTAGAAAATACAGGTACGTCAAAACTGGGAATAAGTGTGTAGGGTTTCGACAAAATTATACATATTTTATAGAATCAGAATTTAACCTGTATGCCAAACACATCAGAAGAAGAAAGGTTTAGAAAACAGTTTTAAAATCAAAGTCTAAATTAATGCTGCTGTCCATAGAACTGGAGAATGACTCATGTATTTTAATTAATTAAATTAATGTTGCTGTCCATAGAACTGGAGAATGTTTAATTAAAATACATGAGTCATTCTCTTTTATGTAGGTACTTTAAATTGTAAGTTATGCCCACACATTTTACATTGTTACATTTCTCTCCCCCTTTTTTTTTTTCAGCATTGTTACCACATATGACATGAAAAATATTTTGTTACTACATGCTAAATAATATTTTCATACGATTATATGTAGGAAAAATGTTGATTCTTCTATTGAATTTCATTACCAAAAGGACACTAAACCAAAGTAGTTTTCTTTTTAGTACAGATCACAAGCATCTTTCTGTTTCCATTACTCCAGATCCTGCTTTGACATGCTCAACCTATTCCTCTGAAACTAGCTCAATACATTGGTGTATTAGGTCAACTAATGGGTCTAACCACAGTCTTACCACTTGTCTAGAAATCTTTACAGAGATGATTTCAAGATATAGCCCCATAAAACTAAGCTAAAAAAAGCTAATACATGTTTTAGAAAAGTCAGACTTCTCAGAGGTATATTCTGTACAATGAGAAATGTGATCTTTTTTTCCACTTGTTTTGTCCTAATATGTAGAATTGCATATGATATACGAAAAGGAAAAATAAAAATTAAGCCACATTTTCATTTTAAAGAAAGAAATGTACACATACGAAGTTTTTATTTACAAAAAGTCACTTTGAATTTAGCCCCTTATATTTTGCAGAAACATCGTGGAGTATTAAATACCCTTTCATTTCATAAAAACTGTGGTAAGGGACCTCATGAAATTATTTTTAAACTTTAATTAATTCATATTTTCTAACTAATAAATGAGCCTGCTGTAAATGTATTAACTGTGTTTCTTGACCTTGAAAAGAAGATAACACTTTAAAATGGAAATTCTCACCAAAACTGCTTTCTCATGACAGTTAACATCTTAACTACATTACAGATAAAAGTTTGGCTATCCTGCTAAAACAAAAAGAAATATTCTTCTGAAAGCTAATAATATTTTGCAAAAGGTACTTCTGGCATGGAATTTCCAGTGCTGTATTACCTCTGTCTCCAAAGAGGAGATTTCAGAGGAACTGAGTGAAACCATCAATGAGCTCATGAAGATCTAGCATTTCCTGCATTGTCGTGGTTTAATCCCAGTCAGAAACCAAGTACCACACAGCTGCTCATCACCTCCCCCCTCCCCCAGTGGGATGGGGAGAAGAAGCAGAGGAAAGACAAGGAAACTTGTGTGTTGACATAAGAAAAATTTAATAATTGAAAGTGAATGAAATAAAATAATGATACCAATAATACTAACAATACTAACAGCACTACTATTCCCAATAGTACTACTAATAATATGTAGTGAAAATAATTGAAAAGAAAACAAATTTTACAACTGCTCATCACCCACCAACCGAGGCCCAGCGAGTCCCCAAGCAGCGAGAGGCAGAGACAGAGAGACCATGATCCACAACATTGGAGCCAGACCAAGCCCTAAAGCAAAAAACAGCCCTGACCTACCCCCAACTTATATACTAAGCATGACATTTTATGGTATGAAATGTCCCTTTGGTCAGTTTGGGTCAACTGTCCTGATTATATCCCCTTCCAGCTTCTTGTAGGGAAGAAGCTGGGAACACAGGGGAGATATCAGAAACTGAAAAAGTCCTTGACTTGATATAAACATTGCTTGGCAACAACTAAAACATGAGTATGCGGTCAGTATTCTCAGCACAGACAAAACATAGCTTCATACTAGCTACTGTGAGTAAAATTAACTTTAGACCAACTAAAACCAACACACACTTAAAAACACATTTGGACATTCTGTGGTCCAGAAAACCACAGAAGTTACAGTCTACATATTGCCTGTTTTACAAACCTTGGTTTTAAAATATATTTTTAAAATGGATCTAAGGTGAGAAAAACCCACTTAATTACAGTAATGATGATTTCTCAGTTTTAATTGCATGAACTATAGGCACATGAGCCCATACTGGTTTTCCCAGCAGTTACTTTCTGTGTCATCAATGTAACTGCTGTACCCAAACGCAAAATCTGACTAAAAAAGTTGTAATTTGGTTCCCTATAATTAGGTACTTAATTCTAGGACCAAAGCACTGAAATAAAATGGGCCTTATAAGCAGAACAGTTACAACTGATCATTCTTACTGATTCTAATTCCTGACTGTTTCTGAGAAATTGTGTATTTTCATTGAAATTTTTACAAGGGCATGAAATGATAGGACAAGGGGTAATGGCTTTAAACCCAAACCATTGTATGATTCTATGAAATTACTAAATTTAAGTGTAGATATCTACCATTAGGCATTAAGAATCCACCAGTGCAAATTACTGGCTTTTTTTGAGGTTTTAAAATTCTCAGCAACAATCTCAACTCTCTCTTATAATCTAAAAGAAGCCACCTGAAAGGAATCCAGGAGTACAACTATCATGTCTTTGCTGATCCACAGTGAACATAGCTCTTTACCTGTACTTTATGAAACCCATCATAGCTTTGCCAGCTGTCCTATTCATGGCTTTTCCCCAAAAAATTATACAGTTTTGTATGGGCTTGTCAAGAGCAAAGATTCCTACAAAACTGAACTTTCACTTCTGTGCCTACATAGAAAGCAACTTCTGAAAAATAGAAAAATAATTTATTGAAAAGTTGAGGTCCCTGAGATATACTGACCAAATACACACTCCCACTGCATATGTGCCTATAGCTAGTCACCAAAAACTGCTCCAACTGTCACTTGCTAGTTGCATGTCCACAGTAGGTACATACAGGCATATACACAAAGACAGAAATTAAACTAGTTTTACAGTAACTGCATTTCACAGTACAGATGTGCTGTACATACATATGCATCCTGTAGCTGTTTATATGAGCAGATGTTGAGCAGTGTTCAGTTCTAACAGCGTGTTACATGTACACCTATATTTGAAACACTTTCAGCTGGAGAAGAAATTCTAGATATTTCTTTTTTTTTAACAGAGCTATCCAAAATAGTAATCTACATACACTGATGCATAAAATAATATGTGATATTATTGAAAGTTCTATAAATATTAAAATTTTGACTAAATTATTTGTGAAATCTTGTAAAATCAAAAGTAACACATGTAAGACACATGGTTTGTTATTTCCCTGCAAGAAAAACTGTTAAGCCGTAGTCTTTCCTTAACAAAGAAACTGTAGTTTTAATTCTGACTACTAGAGAACACACTTATTAGTCTCTTAGATATTTCTCTTCCACACTTACAGTTGCCTTATTATTGAGAATTTGTGCATTCAGGGTGTGCAGCAGAAATGACTCAAGAAAAAATGTCACCTCATTGATAAATGATATAAACTATAATATCAAAGCCATCTTCCATGGAAAAAGGAACTAATGTATTACTGAGCAAGATACAATCTTAGCTAATGTCATTATATCAGCATTCAGATGCCTTGTGAATTCAGGAGTGCAGCTGGATATGAGAAGGGACATACGTGAGTTCTGCATTTATTAATATCAGTGCACTCTGTGTATACAGAAAGCTCAAGCGGACAAACCAGGTTGGGATAAAAATCACATCAGTGACCTAGCCTTTCTGTATAAATGATGTTAAGCTCAACAAGATCAATACGAGTGAAAAGTGTGCTGCTGCAGCAAAGAAAGCCAACAGGATGCTGGGTTGTATCAACAAGGGCATCACCAGCAGGGATGAAGTCATTATCCCACTCTACTCAGTGCTTGTCAGGCCACATCTGGAATACAGTGTTCAGTTTTGGTCCCCACTATACCAAAAAATACATGGACAGCCTGAAGCAGGTCCAGAGAAGGGTCTCAAAGATTCTCAAAGCACTGGGAAGCCTGCCACGCGAGGACAGGCTGAGTGGACTGGGTTTGTTGAGCCTTGAGAAAAGGAGGCTTAAGGCAGACCTTATCACCATGTTCTAGTATTTAAAGGCTGGCTGCAAAGAAGATGTAGACTCCCATTTT